ATGTATAGTGTGCAAATGAGTATAGTAGTTTATGTATTGTATATAGGTATGTAAATATGTTTCATCTCATTGAAATTATTGCAATGACGTGAAAATGTAAATTAGCCAAATGGACTAAATAAAGGATTTATATACATATCAAGCATGAAGATTTTTGCCCCTACTGTATAGAATGCTATCATTCCTAGAGGGTCAAATATTGACATGACACATCTCATAACTTTTCTTTTCGCGACATTTTATTCACTTGTCAGCTTTCACTACTGTGATCAGTTCCACTATATCCCGAGAACTCTTTGTGCTGTTCCTTTTCCATCATCAAGCATCTTGGCTTCCGACTACGTTTCGGGTAGTGCTCGTCTCACAGCTGTTGAATTGGATAACCAGTTGACTATTTGTCAATTCCAAGTTCGAGTACATGTAAAAACTTCACAAACGATAAGATTTCCACAAAATTCTCAAACACGCGACATATGCTTCGTGAGGTGATATACTGGTACAATGAACTGTACTCTGTATACCTTCTTTATCATGCACACAGCTTCATCCTCGGTGTCCACTGAGCCAAATAATCGCCAACATAAAAACATACAAAATTGTGCGTTATAGCTTCAAAAATCATGTCAGAAGAGCTTCTCGGGCATTCAAATTTTTGATGAAGTGGGCACAGATAGGAGAGCATGTGGCCCAAAAAGTCATGACTTGCATTCCGTAAGTTTCGGGCATTTTAGACAGTCTAGACCTCTCCATAAGAATCTATACGCTTCTCGATCAGATTTTCGAATCAGGACCTGGTGAAACATCTCACGTACGTCTCCGCAGATGCCATCTTTTCTTTGCAGAAATTTCCACAATACAGATATCAGTGACTGCAACAAATCCGGGCATGATAGCAGGAAATCATTCAAGCTTGCTCCATTATATTTAATTGCAGCATCAAAGACTAATCTCACCTTGCCAGGTTTATTGGGATATTCGACTGGAAAATGCGGTTGTTACTATGTTCGTGGAGGCTCGATTCCAGCTTCTTCGGTAGTTAATTTCTTGGCGTACTCATCAGCTAGTCTCGATTCTTTATTAGTTTCCTCTCAACAAATCAATCTCTGGAAAGCTGTAGGCTTACTTTCAGGAAGTTTGAAATCTTCCGTAGTAGTCCTATTTCATACCTAGTTCCAACTGGTTTTGCGGTTGATTTCATTATTTCTATGGATCTCATGTCACTCCTACTTGGTTTGAGTGGCCTAAGCCAAATAAATGAATATTTGATCTGCTCGTGGAGATCATCTTCTTGATTCTGTACATTGCAAATGTGAAGTTGAAGAATGTGAACGTTGCTGTCTTCAGTTTCACTCGGAGTCGGACCATGAGGGGACCATCCTAGCTGACAATCGTGGCAATAGGAAAAATTTCAGGACCATTTCTAATTTGCCCAAGAACCGTCAAGCTAGCATTATCCTCTCCAAGGAGTAGCGTTGGTCTTTCATCTTCTATCGTGTCAATAGGAAGTCCTCTCAGATAGGCATATTTGTTCAGTTAAATGGTTTGTTCAGTTAAATATAGAGAATCGACAGACATTCTTTACTAAGAATTCTTAAGGTCTACTTTCTCTGACTTATCCAGACTTGCAGTTTGACCATTTGTCCACTGGATACAGAGTGGATCATGTTCACCATGTAGGCCAAGTTTCTCTGCTTCTACTGATAATGCTTCCAGTACTAGCGCACGGACCGAACGGAGTGGTAAGAACATTAGCATAATGTGACCTCTTGGAGTTGAATTTGTTCTCTGGCAAACAGCAGGGTACTTGAGGACTGCTTACTTAACATGCCACCTCAGCCCATATCATTTATCCATGAAACAAAATCTTCTAAGGACACATTTCTCTTATTTTTCATTAGGAATTCACACTTCATTCTTCAATCTTGGTTATCTTGACCTCGATAACCTACTCAGATCTTCCAAATCTCCTCTGAAATGTCTGCATAATCAGATTCATATTACTGGCAGACAACAGTAAACCTGCAACCGCCGATTTGGCCTCTCCTCGTAAGCATTTCTGCAATTTGACGAATATTTCGTCAGAACTGTAGTCGCACATCTGACTGGTTTGTCGAAACCGCTGATAGAACAAAGGCCTGTTTTCAGGGTTTTCATCGAGAATAGGAACGTCTTTGTCAACAATATGTCAAGCTAACAATATGTATCTTGTCTCGCAGGCGCAAATTTTTTTATAACATTTGAATTTCCCCTGGTATTCTTCTTCTTCATTAGGGAGTTCAGAAGGTTCTACGTGATTCACCCATTCTGTAACAGAAGGCTTCATTCCGTGGTCATTCGCATTCTGCAAACGCATTCTAGATATTGAACTATCACATTCTGAAATTTCTTCAGCTTCTATTTCGGCTTGTATGAGGTCATGCTCCATTTGTAATATATGCATCCTATTTTTAATGTAGAATGTCTCTTCTTTTGAAGATCCATCGAAGTTGAGGATTTCTTTGAAGAATTAATGGAAATCTTCTTTTCAAGAAAATGTTGACAGGATTTTATTGACATTGAACTTCTTTCAGTAATTGTCTTGTAACCATAGGTTGAGTGGAAGAAAGCACTTGTTCGACTCAACACCGAGTTTGTTTTAGCTCTGGCTCGAAGGACCAAATGTTAAGTCGTGTTTTTCGTCAATCAATCTCGTTTTCAAAATATCAGCTATTATTCAAAATATCTGAAAAGCTGTTTCTTACTCATCCCTGACGTTTATGTAACTAACCAACTCGCTTTTTTCGTTTCAGTATATATACAGGGTCAAGACATACTGGGTCATTATGGATATAATTATTCTTATGAAGACATCACAAGACCCTTCGGTAAAGTCCGTATGACACGGGCCAGTTTTTCACTCATGAAATGGATCATTATTGAACACAATAAAACATTAAGAATAATCTGAGTTATTTTCTGTGGGAAAATTCTGTGTAGTGTGACACGACATAAGATCACAGATAAGATATCGCAGTTGTGCGTGTATAGTAACTTCAAAATATCTTTTAGGAAGTAGATATTCAAAATTGAAGAATGGTAATAGTAATGGTTCCTCATAAAAAATATCTGTCTGCAGTTCTGCAAAAGTGGGTGCTATGCTCAGCGTATTTGTTTAAACAAAATCATGCGATTACTCATTTTGTAAAATTAATTTCAACAGAGCGTGCCGAAATATTATGCAATTCATAGGTGTATGAGATTAACTAAAAGATTAATAATAATATAGGTAATTATAATAATGAAGAAGTGTCAAAATATTTTTCAGTAGATCATGAGATGTTCCAGTAGTACAGTAAATCAGTAGATCGCAATAATATGCAAAATTTAATACTGAAAATTCACTAGAACTGGCAATCCTTAAGTGGACGAAAAGATAGTGTCTGTGGACGAAAAGTACTTGCCTTCGGAAATAGTCGCTTTTTCGTTCGGGAATGAGAACGTAAAATGTGATTTTTTGTAGAGCGAAAATCGAACTATTAGATTTTTTTCTGTTTTGTCATGGAGAAACTTGTTTTCATTATAAGGTTGTTAAAGTTCGCATACATTTTTGGTTCTTCTTTTTTATCTCAGTTGAAACAAAACCTAGCGATCTTTCTATCGGCAATATGAACAGTCCTTATCAATTGATACACTGGGTGTTATTCTTCTTCGAGCCCTCTGACATGAAACTCGTTAGACTTTTTCATTCGGACACTAGTAGTGGATTGAACCTAATGAAATTTCATTATTATTTCTTCACCATACTTTGTGTTTTTCATTTGAATCAATATCTTTCGTGTCTGTGAACCATTCAATCTTCAATTCGAATGATATTCGATGTAAGATTTGTTATGCATAGTTCAACGTTATTTTAAATAACAAGGAAACTGAAAAGAATATCAAAACAAATGAAGCGCAGATAGCAAGGTGAATAAATGAGCATCATTTTTGAACGCTATATAATTCACCATTAGTGTCGTCTTAATGGAAAAAAAATTGTAGGGTTCCATATCAGTGGATATGAAGAAAATAACACCCGGTGTAGCTGAGTCCCCTCTATTGATAAGGACTGTTCATATTGTATATGGAAAAGTGTTTACCGAATTTCAAATTGCTAGGTTTTGTTTCAACAGATAAAACATTAAAACCAAAAATGTATGCTTAATTTCACACCCCGTATAATGAAAACAACTGATGTCTCCATGACAAATAAAAAATACGTGTATAATATTCTAATTTTTGCTATCGATTGGCAGAGTAAGACGAGTTAAACCTGAGACACCCTGTATATATTTATCAGATAGACAATACGAATTCTCAATGTATATCTTTATGTGTTTCCATTTCTTTCATGCTCATAATATATCTAGGAAAATTCCTTTTCAAAACATTAAAAATTGATGATCCCAACTTTCACCTAAAAATGCACCTTATATTCCAAAGATCCGTCCCGTTAATTGAGAAGGAGTAAAAAAAATCTAATTCTAAGGGGTGGGGTTCAAGATTTCTTTGGAAGACCCTGTCACTATACTGGGTGTAACAGGATTATGGTACACCCACTTTATCTCCTTTAGTTTAAGACATAAGCGATTGTAATTTGGAGTGACCCATCAACTTGATAAACTTCACGTTTTGACATAAGAAAATGTATTATTTTCAACTTACAGTTTCACGAAAAATATTCCGATTCACTATCGACAGGTGAACAGGTAATAAAAAATTGAAACCACGATGTTCTTTGAAAATTATAGGCATTTCATTTCGTGCGCTCCAAGCGGTAAAAAATAACGTTGAATTTATTGATTTATAACCGTATTGATTTAAGCAAAATGGCGAGACAGGAAGTGGAAAATAATACATTCTTGTGTCAAAGCATGAAGTTCATCAAGTTGATAGGTCATTCAAAATTTCAATCACTCATCTCTAAAACTAGCTAAAGGAACCCCACCCCGTATACAGTGCGAAAATATGTTTCAACTTACATTGTGAATATATAAATACTAAACCCAGGATCATTAGGAAGGGGTGCCAATAAAATTCCTGATTAGGATTTGACTGCCAGGCAAATCCTCCTCTATAATAAAGAATCCAGAAAAGTACCAGAGCGACGAGTCCTATTCCCATTGATACAGTGAAGGAATAGAAAGCCTGATAGTGACGGACTATCTGATGTTCTGTCCTTGCTTCCATGATCCTGAAATAAAGAAAATTATTTGTCATACAATATCACTAATGCCTGTTCACATTATGATGTTTTCGAAATTAGAGCGATAAATGAAGTCGGTAATAAAATAAGACGAAAAAACAAAATCAAATGACATTGCACTTTTGTAGAATGTTTATAAACCATCGATTGAGAGGTTAACAGCCAAACCCGAACGTTTGTTTTCGGCGAAGACAGAAGCACAGAAAATATCAATGACTCTTGTCGGTCGTTCAGTAATAGTTGAAAAATGTGATATGGTGAAAAAGCACAATTTTTTAGCAAAAAAAAATCAAATTAAAATATTTCCCATTTGCGATTTAATTTTATTATGTCTTATACCAACACCCCATTTCATCGCTCCCCAATATCGAAAACACCATGTGTAAGAGATAGATTAGAAAATTCGGTATATCTGATCATCATATAGCCGATAGCGAATACTTTCAAAGCCTAGTGTAATAGTGTATATTACGTAACAAATGTTATAAATAAGAAGCATATTCGCACGAATGGAAAAATTACGCACGCAGCCGCGAGTATGCCTGTACATAAAGTAGAAATAAATAATTATAGACCTGTATTACCTATGATAGAAAATTTTAGAATTATGATTATTTATTTAGAGTCAATGCAATGTTTATACGAATTTCAGTTCAGTATGGTTTTCTTAAATCTACATTTTTCGTAGATTTGTTTTTGGTTTCTGTTGCTCTACCTTTCTTGCTGTCTCAGCCAATTTGTTTGTCATTTTGCGTTTTTGGGCATGACCATCTGTTGCTTATCTGCATTATCTATAGAAATAGCTCGGAGCTAGAATTCGCCAACAGTCTATATGTAAGATTTTTTCCATGTACTTATTTCACTTATGATAGTAAAAGGCGTTTATTATTATTATTATTATTATTATTATTAGTAGTATTACTATTATTATTAGTGACACTGAATCTGCAGTTCTAGATATTATATAAAAAGTTCAACTCGACATGAATTGTGAATGTGGAATATTTTCATTAGGTTATTTATATGTGAAGTATTCGATACAATGAACCACAATACCTATTTCATTGAATAGATTGTTCATTTTGGGAATCAGAGAAAACATATTCTTGGTCCAAAAACTATTCTGGAGGCCGTGAACAATTTGTTTTTATTAATGACATTATAAGTTTGACTAAAAATATCAATTGGCTAGTAACACATTAATCACCACTAAATTTCAGAAACCTATCATAACGAAAAGAAAGAAACCTACGGAGTAAATTTATTTAGTAAAAATTGGTGTACTTAAATGAAATCAATCATACAGATTTTTCGAAATTATTCATTGTTCAAACACTCTCATGGTACAAACATATATGTTGAGAGATTAAATAAATCTATATTCTCTATAAACCTAGGATAATTCTTGAGATTGCGTCCATAAAATAGAAAATTGATCCTGACACATAACTTGAAAATCAATGAAGCCGAAACTGTCTATAATGTATATTATGTATTCAGCAAAAAATATGGTAATCGAAGACTTCCACATCCAACTGGGAGATTATATTATGTTGATCAGGGTTATTCACCAAATGTCTGAGATTACTTATCAGTAATCAATTGAATTGGCTGAGCAAATAAACAAAATTTGTACTAAAATAATATCCATGGTAGGAGCGTTATACAAACTTGAAAATGTCACAAACCAACAAATGAAATATATCATTTATAATGCATACTTTGTCTGTGTATTTAGGTAGGTATCTAATAACTATCTGGGGAACCCTTTTCGCAAACTGAATGCAGAAAAATGCCAATCATGCAGAATGAAGTTTTGAAAAAGCTGTTCAAGATGGAAAGAAGAATACCTAGTGAGATCCTATACTATATAATGAAAATTTGATACAGCTGGAGAGTATTTTCGAAATTGAACAATTTAAGTATACTCATACAAAATCAAAAATGCTTACAAAAATGCAGTGGAAAAATTCTAAATACATTACCATGAAACAAGAAACCAGAACAATATATAGCGCTGCCCAATGTATGAACCAATATTGCACTGAATAATCCTATTAGTCGTGCCGTACAAGAGTTCGTGATTATAGGCTTCCTGATGAAATAAGTAAAGCCAAAGAGATATATCACTGTAAACATTCCTTTTTCAAGTGAACCGCTGAGGGAAAATCATTCTTTGAATCAACATCGAGCGGTATTATGAATTATTAATCATTATATTATTATATACGAAGTCTGAATTGACTCAGCCGTTACTTGATGGAAATCCATGACAATGACTGTATACAATGTTCATTGTACCAGTATATCACCTGACGAAGCTACTATGTTAGCGAAACATGTCGTGTGTTTGAGAATTTTGTGGAAATCTCATCGTTTGTGAAGTTTTTACATATACGAAGTCCTTCTTAATTGCAAATGGAGCATACTAGTTCACCATAGAGTAGGATTGAATGATCCCAAGACCAGCACTAGCTAGCCAACTTCAAATGTAATAGGTCATAATAATAAGAAAAAAAAATAACACGATATAGTAACAGTATATTAATTGTTTCACGAGCACGGAATGATAGTGATTTCCTACGAGAATGAAGTTTGCAGCATGAGCCATAGGAAATTAACATTCCGTGCAAGTTATATATACATTATCATTTTTCTACGGCTGTAATAGATAACAGCGGCATTTTCGATTTCTTTCTTCGTCTTGTAGCCATCTGATTTCCTGTCAAGTAATGCTCATCTATTAGACAGAGCTGTCATTGCTTGAAATTTGAGATACCATGGGCGATGAGTTTTTTTTTTTTTTAAATAATAACGCAATGGAGTCATTGTGATATCAGATACGCAAATAAAATTGATGACATATAAAGTACCTCATTGATGTATCGAACACAGTCAAACGAGAGCAATTACAAGCAAGCAAGTTACAGCCGTAGAAAAAATACATTTTTCAATAGCTGGGTAACACACTTGAATTCTGGGGTAACCCAGCCCATCCGCTCCCCCTGACCCAGTGCCAATTTAATTTTATCATATTTTATTTCAATTGGAAGGGTGTTTCGTAATATGTGGGACGCACTTCAAGATAGGGCGTCTCAAGAAAATTGAAAAGTTCCTATAAACAAAATTCATAGAAGGCTTTGTTTGCGAGATACAGAGGATGTTGAAGTTGAAAATATTTATAGAATTTTTTTCTCTATGGTTTATCGTGGTGGCAAAATTTAGTCTGTTATGTGACTGACATAATGCCACAATAATCACAGAATGATATCTATCATGGTTATAGAGTAACCTGAACAGGTCTTCAATGGACTATCCGACATCCTCGGACATCTACATAAAATTTTGGACTTGAATCTTGCTATTCGGTTTTTCTCGAAAGCAGTTTAACTTTATGAGTTTCAACATTTGGTGCTTTTTTTCTACAAAATTACATCCTCTTTCATATTTTCCAATACAATTTCGAAGTTTTATCGCCACCCATGTTTTTTCTGAAAGAACACACATCAATACCCCTTAACGATGCCACTGTACTGTAACGGTACTTTAGTAAAATTGACATTGATGTTGGCAACACTGTTATGTTAGCATGTTATGTGTTCATGCCCGTGACATGACAAGTGACAAGTGAAGGACGACGTTCACGAGCGTTGATCTAATCTCGATATGATATGTCGTATGGTCGAAATGTCAAAGCATTTAGAGTCCATGAATAATGAATAATAAATGAGACTCAATAAATAATATCGTTAATGTGGTATGTAAATGATTATTTGTACAAGGTGTAAATATACTTGTGAATAGTAGTGCTTGCTTTATGTATAACACAGGTACTGAGGCATGCACCAGAATATCAAGAATTTTTGTTAAGCGGTTATCTAGAAATTCGATGAAAATTATTTTTTGATTTCACACATATCACGAAACACCCTGTATATCACAACCAATTATTTTGTCATTCAGACAAGAAATATTCAGTATTGGTTTTCAAGATTTTTGAGGAGCCATTCATGGATTCTGAGGCTCACGCTTCGAAGAGCCCCCCCCCCCAGAGCCTCACGCGTCGCTCATCATGCGCCTTTTAAAGAATTGGTTACAACAATTTTTTATAGATATTTTCGCCATGGTTGTCGGACAAAAGTTACCGTTTCGTAAATCATGCCCTTAGATAATGTTAGAACAATGAAACAGCAATGCTGGGATGATGTTCGCTCTAACCATACCATATTTTTTAACAACACTGGGAAAACTCGGCCCAGTAAATCGTTTTCTTGAAAAAAATTCGATTGTGACAAGAACATTTTCACCAACGGTAGGAAAATGAGGTAGGTACTTGAAGTAGGCAAAACAATATTTCTGAAAAAATTTCTGCTGGAAGTGATCGATGTGTATTCTGAGTTCGATAATTATAAGTGAACACTAAACTAATACTAGGTTAACGAATACTCATCATTATTAAATTATTTTTCTTAGACAAAATGCTCTGAGCGAACCCATCGATGAAGACAATCTATCAAGTCGATTGGTGCAAGTGACAGCACACCTGTGGTTATACATTTTTTTCCGTTCGGACATCGCCGATATATTATTCTGGTGCTAAAGCCCATCGCGATCAGTCCCACTGTCCACGGCTATTAGCATTTGTGAATATATACATTATGCGTTCCCGCTAGTAAAATTAAAATTCCAACAGTGACGGCTCGTCAGGGACGGCAGGGTCGGCCGGGCCGTACCAAATAATTTGGGGAAAATTACTGAACTATTTGATGAATAAAATTATTTTCCGAAACTGTTTTCATAATTCATCGCTCATTATCCTACTGTTATGCCACTATTATTTGAATTTCATTCATGGAACCTTTGAGTATGCCATCCGCTTATACACCGAAAATCACGAACTAATTCAGGACCTACGACATCTGGTAATCCCATCGTCAAAACGCCGCTTTCAGTCGAAACGCTCGCGTAGCTCATTACACTGATGCAGACGGCCGGCCGATCGGTGATTTCTTGTCT